TTAGTGAAGTGGGTACCGCTTTAGCATCCCGCACTTAATTTTCTGAGATCATGCCTTCATGATGCTATTTTCTGTTACTGGTAGGATCTTGAAAGCTAGATGGGCATTAAAGGAAAGATAATGTGGAATGAGGATTTTTCCTCCCTGTGCACAGTTGGGTTTAGAATTACCCTTGTAAAAGCAGGCAAGCAGACTACAAGAGAGCAGTGTCTGGGGCTGCAGTGAGCCCAGGTATCCCATTTGTGGCTTATGGTTCAGCAGCTGCAGTCACGTTAGCCAGACATTGAATTGCTCTTCTTTGGGTATTGCCTTTTCAAAGAGCGCAGCAGATGGGATCATCCAAAAATGTTGAATGTGGCTGGGCTTGGTACCCGCTGAGAATGATCTGCATCATGTGTGAGAGTCTCATCTCTTCCAGACAGTGACTGAAAACAGGCAGTGGTGGTAGTCACAGAGGAACCTGAGAGAAACCTGGACAGATAAATGATAATTAATATTTTGAAGGGAAGATGCTGTCTCCGTGTGATCTGAAACAGTGCTGGCAATAAAATGACTTGTTTTTTCTTTAAACAGATCTCTAAACTATGACCTCATAGAACAGAATGAAACAGCCTCAGATACTCATGCAACTGCTTGGTAATAATAGATGTATGAAATGTGAAATGTAGATAGGAATAGACGTGTGCAATTCTTTTGAAGGGAGAGGAAAACAGAAGTACGTTCCTATAGCAGTTGGTAGTGGATTAATTTCTCCAGACCTTGAGATAGGCAAAAATTGTTGACATTGTTGTTCCTGTTATATCTTTATTTCTGCACCACAAAGATGAATGTAAGGGTTAGCTTCCGGATTCCTGCAGTCAGTTTTTTCAGTGATCCAGTGAAAAGCTCATTAAAACAAGCAGGCAGAGTGTTTAGGTCAAATGGGAGAGATCTTAGGCTGAGCGKTTTTTTCCTAAGCTTTGATAAACACTCTTTCTGGCTTTTGGATCTACCATCGTGTTGTAGTCTTACAGCCTTAATGTAATTAAAGAAATGAGCACCCCCATTGAACACCTGCGTATTGGGGAAAACGCAAGGAAACGTACTGCAAATCCTCCTGTATAAATATGCAATTCAAATTGTGGGGTGTTTTCCAAACTTGCAGGTGTAAAATACTCAGCCACTTTGCCTCTTCTTTCCTCTTCCTAAGAATATCAACAAATGGAGGCTGTGAGGGGAACGTCCTTTGCCCGCTGGATGCAAAATTGTTTTACTTCTGTAACAAACCTCTCTTACAGGTAGAATCACAAGTGCCAAAGAAAAAAGTCTCATTAAAGTCATGAATATTTCCTCACAAATTTTGCTTGATTTTTGCTTTGAGATCTGTTAAGCTCCCTTGGTTTTGTGTGTTTTTCTGCTGGTTTCTGAATTGGTTTCGATTTGTGGTTCAGAGCCATTTTAGGCAGCTGGGGGATTGCAAATGCTTTGCCAGCAGAACAAAGGAAAAGTGGCTTTTGAATTCTGGCAAAGCAAAATCCTTCTTCACGTATCCACTCCAGAGAGTAGGCCCAGTTTTGCACTAGTCCCTTGAAAGGGGGAATTACAAATCTTAGTTTCAATGTGAAAATATAAGAGGATTTTTTTTTCTGAAATGCAGAGTGATTCTGTTCTGCCTTCTTGCCATTCCCCATATGACCACTGCTACCTCTTACAGAGAAGGAATGTTTTGGAACCCTTTCAGAAAAGACATATAATTAAAAGAACTACTTTCAAACTCATGGGCTTGTTTGCTTTACATGTAGCCTGTCTGCAGTCTGCCAGGTCTTGGGTTGTCTGCATTKTCTGTGGTCACCAGTACTGCCTATTTAGTGCAGCTCCTCTTTCCTGTTCCAGTGATGTTGAAATCACTACTGCAGACCTGGAGCATTTTCCCCATCTACCTGGAAATATTTCCTTTTTGATCATTTTTCTCATCAATTCTGGTAGCAAGCTCTAATAGCAAGTCCTAGTTGTTTTGCTTTGTTGGTCCTGTTGTTCTTTGCGTGTTGAGGCTTCCTCATTAAATGTGGACATGAAAACTCTCCTGCCAGGCTCCAAACTGCAGGGAGGAGCACTGACCTCCCCTGCCAAGCTCTGTGACCATACATTGAAAACAAACATAGGGCCTCCATTTTAAAATTCAGGGGAATAGGCCAAGGATTCTTGCTTGGTGGCTCCRTGATCTCCTTCCTGCCTTGTGGCTCAAGCTGTTGTCTTCCAGAGATGCTGTTGTGCCACAGGTCACAAGAGAGAGGAGAGGGGGCCATTTCCCATGCATTGGTGAAACCCAAGGCATGTGTTTCTCCAAGTTCCAGTTCAAATTACAAGTTTCTTGTTATGTAAGACAATTCATTGTTTCACCTAGAAATCTTAATGGGGATCTCTCCATTAAGGAGGTGAATGGTGGAGCTCAAATACTCTAGAATGCAAGGCCAGATGAACATAAGGCAAATACCATGGCAATCATCTGTTTAAAACACAGGGAGTAAATATATTTTTACAATGCTCTGTACCATGTTGTCTCAACTGATAGAAAAGCACTAACCATGGGACTCTCATCACCTGCGCAGAGGACTGATGAAATCCGTGCYGTCCTGCTGAGTATGTACGGCCAGAGGCGGAGAGGAATGGCTCAAGTCATAGAATCACAGAATCCTTAAGTTTGGAAGGGACCTTTAGAGATCATCTAGTCCAACATCCCCGCACACRCAGGGTCACCTAGAGTATGTGGCAAGTCTTCTGTAACCAGAAGCTCCCAGGTTTCTGCTTCAAAGCTGAGAAAAGCAGAGAGGTTGATCAAACTGCTTTTATCTACACGTGGCCGAAAGGTGACTGAGTAGATTAGAGGAAGGCAGTGGCTTCAGACTAGATTTCGTGCAATTGCAGTTGCCCTTTTGGGATTAGTGGCAGCAAAACTAACACGAGTGGCTGCTGAAGAAGCATTCAGAAACCTTTTAAGTCTCTTGCTGTTGGCTTCGTGAGGACTTTCTTTTTCATGAGCCTGAATGGATTKATTGTCCCGGTCACGGAGTGTGAACAAAAGTGATGGCGCTCACAAGGCACTTAGTTTTCTCAATTCTACTCAGTTCTAATTGTAACTAATGAAAAGAGTACGACATTTTTAGGATGTGGTTCCAGGAAGCATTTTAAATAGAACTAGCCTCCAGCAGTGTTCAAAATACAATCTAAATAATGCAAGATTGTTAGCAGAAAATACAGTGCTATTAAATAACACCGAGTAATGGACAGCTATTCAAAGGCGTTATTCGTGGTCGGCCTCAATCGTTGGGACTGAAAGCATATGACCTGGTTTGTACTCAGCAATACCCGTAGTCATTCAGGAAAGTTAATAAATAGTAATTGCAGAGCCCTATTGACTATGGAGAGCAATTTTATCTGTGTTTTCTGCATTTTTGGTGTTCTATTACAAAGCATTGGCGTTTTCCAACTATGTTTTCTTCCTACAAAAAGAGGGTATGCATTCCCAAAGTGAGTAGTTCAACGCAAAGTTGACTTGTGTTCCCTAAAATCACATAAGTATTTTTGGAAAGCCCCCTAAAATGGCTTTTACAGTCCAAGGTACTTTTGTTTCAGGCACAATAATGTGATTTATATAGTTGGTGAAGATTCAACAGTTTTATAGGATTTCAACTGAAACCATCCRTAGCAAAATGCAAAGAGATTCCTTCCCCTTTAAAATGGGGAACAGGGAAAATATCCATTGATTTTCTTGTTACATTAGTGTACATGTGACACTTGGAACAGGAGGGAGTGGGAAGGAGGCATCTGTGGCACATTCARTCTTTCCTGCAGTATCCACTGAGGCAGCATGTGTTGTTCGCGTGGATGGTGGGAAGGCACAAGAGTTGAGCTAGTGCTAATCTGAAATTCGGGGGGTGGCTTCAGCTCTGCATGTCCCACTCTGCTTCCATCTCTCTTTGCTTCAGTTTTTCTTTKAAAAATGTGAGTAATAGTAACACTGCAGAAGGTTGTGTCAGGACCTGCATCAGGAACCTGGTGTTTTGCRCAGCTCTATTGAATTTGTAATGCTGATAATGCTAAAAATCGGAGGTTTCCTCAAAAGCCTCTTTACCTTCCCTTCTGCAAATATGTGCTCATGGCTCATGTTTGACAAGAAGCCATTTGTGCCGTGTTTTGTCAGCATTTGTTTAGCATGAAGCTTAGAGTCGTGATGAAGTGTCCCTACAGACCTTTTTATTTTCTTCCTAACTACGCTCCCTTGACAGGGTGACAAGTTGCTGCTGAAATGATGTATCAGAAAGATTTGTTAGGGAGTATGTTGGATTTTCTTTTTTCAATTAAAGTCATTGTCACGAGTCTTATTGGGGGGAGTGAGAGTCCAGTGTCATTAGTGTCTGGTTTGACTGGTAGATCCTTTTCCAGATGCATGGGGCAATTTTTGCCTGCAATGGCATCATTTTAGCTCAGCTGAAGCTAATTGCAAGAGAGCCATTGTGGAAGATGCGATAGCAAAGTGGTGATACCTTCTGCTGGAGCTTGCCTCAACTCCCTTTGATGGGAGAAACCACCCAGCAAGTTGCTTTTACTCAGGCTTTTTTTTTGGCATTTAAATTAATTAAAATTTGGCAATTAAAATGACAAATGATGCACAATGGGAGGAGGAGCCTCATTATTCTGCCGCTTGTCATCACACCGTTAGGGATATGAGTCTCTGAGGATTACATTAGAATTTCCTCAGATTTTAATTTAAGCTTATTTTCATGATCATGAGGCATAGAAGCTGGGTTGGTTATATTTATTCTACCCTGATATTGAAAAATACCATGAGATACCCCAAGAAAATGTGGCTTGGACCACCCACAATACAGTTTTCTGTCAGGATTTGAATGTGTCCCCAAAGTGTTCGTGAGGATGAGAGTGTAATGAAGAAACTTATGGTGCTGAAAGAAACATGGTGGAAAGGAAGCAAGATAAATGGAAACATCTTTCTGTCCCTACAGAAACTCAACGTACTGCATGAAGGTGTCCATGTCCTTGACGGTAGCTGAGAATGAATCTGGGCTTTGCTACAACAGTAAGATCAGATATCTGGAAAAATCAGAAGTCACGAAGAGAAAGACAATCTCCTGTCCTGATATCGAGGATTACAAAACGGCCARTGAGGAGCCGGACGTGGTGTGGTACAAGGTAACTATCGCTGTGTCATTGCTGTTGTGCTGAAACTATAAAAAGCTGCCAGTGCTTTTGGTCAGAGGCTTAGAAATGGCCTTTTCTGAGCCTTGAGGGGTTTGTGACTGGTACGGGGGATGCCCTCCCAGGATTAGAGAAGCAAACCCAAGTACAGGCAAAAATATCCAACCCTAGTCATTGAGCAAGAGAAGTGCTATCAGTGAGGTGGTTCTAGCTGATGCAGGGTACGTGATTCCTCTAACTATGTTGCCACAGTTTCACCTTGATGGGATGTCTGCTTATCTCATACCAAGTAGAAACACAGACAGGCACCTAAGACAGAGCTGAAGTAGCATGAACTCCACCAGCATGGACAATGGAGGAGGATAAGAAGATGAGAATTGGAGGGAACGGCAAACTTTGAGACAAGGGGAAGAACTTGACAGGGTTATTGGAAGATAGGTATGGATTGCTGGAATAAGGAAATCCATGAGGATGAGTTCAGGTAGTAAGGGGAGTAATGAGCAGAGCAGTTAAATCCTTTTGAGGTCTTTATTGGACAACCTTGGTAACATTATTTGAAAATGGTTACTTTCAGTGAAATAAATTAGAAGTGCAGAGCTACAGAATTTTTACTCTTGAGCAGGATGCATTGGAAAAGGACAGTTTTAGAAGTAATTATCTATTTATATTTTTTTACTGAGATCTCACATGTTCCAGTTTATACTAACAAAATGTATGTCATAACTCACTATTAGATAAAGGAGGCTTTTCTTCTGGCCATTGAAGATGCTTCTCTCGGCATATGGATGGATATCTTCAGTGCTGTTCATGCATAAAATCCATGTATTTTGTTAATTCTGAAATCTTAAAAAAGAAGGCACCGAGGTTACACTGTTTTTTTACCATATCTGTCTGTGCGTTAGAGGACAGCACATCACTGAAGATCTCATTCTGCAAGACCATGCTACAAAAATAATCTGTCAGGAGTAATCTTCAGCTGTCACAGAGTAGAAATCAGTCTGAGGAAAATGTGTGTACAACCCCAAATCAGTGATGCCTTGTGCTGACCAGAAATGGGAAAGGAAAGGTCTTTGTTGCCCAAACCTGCACGTTATCAGGGTTCCCTGCACAGACTGCRTGACACCAGCCTGGAGTGTGACAGCTGTCACGGCTGTGATGGAACTGAGCAGCACTGAYGCTGTCGTTTAGCGATAACTGCAAGTCAGTCAAAGCCAAACCCTTAGTCTGCCTTGGTACTAAACAGAGCTGTTAAGGGAATGGGCTACTGCATATACCTCCTTATTCCTAATGAACGATTAAGAGCTATCCGTTCAGTTTCCAGATAACACCTGTGTTATCAGACAGGAGTCAGGAAGCTCAGTAATTTGAAGTGTCAATATGAATGTTATGCGGCATGTATATATGCTGGGTTATCCCTAGAAACCTATTCCTGGGAAGGGGTTTTCAAAAATACTCCAAAGCTTATTACTGTATTGACTGTTAACAGATATTCATCTCTATTTAAAAAAAAAAAAAAAAGGCAGAAGGACATTTTAAATAATTACTTGAATTTCAAAATGATATGAAGAATACCATGGTAACCCCCAGAGACCACACAGCAGCATTTCAGATTGTGCTGTGCGGGGCAATGTGTGTTGAGTTGGATATTTAGTGAAGATATTTCTTCAGTGGGAAAGCATAAGTTGTCCAAAATAGGAGACAAATAGACAAATAAATATGAGGAAGTCCATGAGCTTGCTCCTTTATAACTCTAAAAAGATTCTCCTTGTGGCCATGAGAGATCCTGCCAGTGCCCTGATGTTGGGGAATTAGGACTTGGGGCCAAGGAGCTGCCGTCACACGATGCTGTAACGCGGCAAGCCCGCAGCACATGCGCTCTCTCTGCACAGGGATTAACGAATCAGCACCAATAATTGCCTCTATTTAGAGCAAGTTAGCTGCAAGTTAAACATGCTCTTAAAATAATGAGGCATGGATAGATTTCTACATGCACACCCAATAAGTAGTGATAAAACATTTGCTATCAGAGTTTGTTTTAACAGTAGTGTGGATTTCACTCCTGGCTAGACTTATACTGTATGAAATATGTGGTTTTAAAGATTTTCACAATTAATGCCATTATTATTGTTCATATAGATCCATTAGGGTTGGTAGAAGTGTTTTGACAAGAAGAATRAGGAGTTTTTTTGAAATAAATGTATGTGTCAAGGCAAGATTGAATGAACAGGATTTAAGAGTAAAAGCAGTTTCATGAAAAATCAACCGGCAGTGGGGAAAAAAGGTGTATTACATCTAGAAAGCAGAGCCTTAATCCATCTGCACCACCTCTTTGCTATTACTGGGATGAAGGAAGGGCTGTGAAAGCTGTCAGAATGGCAGGTGAAGGACAGGTAGTTGTTATCAACCGTACAAAAACTAGAGTTGTTGGGGTGCTGCCACTTCAAATGTCAAGGAAGAGAAAAAAAAGCATAATAATGAACAACCTAGTTATTGGGGGAAAAGAATAAAAGAACTATTTAAGATGTCTAAGGAAAATAGGCTAGTAAAAGGAAACTCAGATTCTCCCTTCAGGTGAACATGATGCAAAAGCAGAGGTTAAATGAGCAACCATCATATCCCTTGGCACTTACTGGTTTACAGAAATTAGCAGACATCTGGTARGAAAATCCTTTTGTTGCTTAAAATAAAAATAGTTTTGATTCTTCTCCTTCCTTCTTCTTGGCTTTCAGTTTTATATGCTGAACTAGTCTGAAAAAACAGAAATAAATGGGCATTTTCAGCATGTTTTTGGAAGACTCTGTAGTCAATAAAGGAAAAAGAATTAGCTMAAATCTGGAAGAGAGAAGCTTATAAATCATTTTTAATATGAACTGTTTTGAGCRGACAAAAAGAGAAACAATTGGGAAGTCAGTGATACAGTTCCAGTAGAGCCATTCCTCACTGGAAAACTGCACTATGTGCAAGCCTTGCTTTTGTGCTAAATCATTTATCTCCAGAGAGGTAAGGATTTCAACCTCCTTATTGCAAACAAATAGAATATAAAATGTAACGCATATAAAAGTGGTGATTTCTAATCTCTTCACTCCCATAGATTACAAAATAAAATACGACATATAAAAGTGGTAGTGCATAGGGTCTTTCAGTGCTGCGCGGAAAGGATGCACGTTGGAAATGTACTTGCTTTGTGTATTTGGGGCATATTCTTCCTTTTAAATTAAGATTGAATAGAATAACATCATAGTCTTTGTCCAGATTCAGTTACTCCAAATCGGTGGTTGATGCAGTTACATGGCACTTTTGGACAGAACTAAAAATTGAGTGCAAATCRGAAGGGGCAGAATGGCATTTTCCTGCTCTCGAGCCACGTCAGTTTAGTATAGTAACAAAAATAAGCTCAGATTCCTCTCAGCACAGCAGACAGGGATCTGGTTTCTCTTTTTCTCTTACATCAGTATTAACTTAAGTTCAGGTGTAAGTCCCAATWATGATTTCCTTACAGCTGTACCAAAAGTGGTCGTCCTGTCTTTTTTCCTTCCATATTATTATCGTTTAATTGAGCCCCTGACATTGTGGAAGAAATCTTTTTGTTCCATTATGATCGCTTGCCCTCTTGCAGAATATCTACCCGCTTTCTTGTTTGGTTGCTTTTTAAGACAGGGCTTTGTTCTGTTTTGTTTGCTGTGCTTCTAGCTCTACTGTGGCAGACAAGAAGAGAAAATTGGATGTAGGGGTTGACTTTTTATGTGAATCTCTGAAGTCGTTCATCCTGCTGGAGCTGGTACAAGGTTGTTTTTTGCAATCCAAGAGCTTTTGCTGTGTTGTCACCCTGAGAGGGAATAGAGCAGCATTCAAAGGTTCTTCGGCCCATAATTGTGTCGCTCTGTGGGCACTGGGCAGCAGAGCTAGCCAGAGCTTGCAGAATTGTTAGCTGTGCGCAATTTCTGGGAGAAATCATGATTTTCTTTGCAGATTGAGCAGACTTCGTATTGAAGTTACTGAGAGGCAATACATACTTAATCCTTAAGAACAATTTTGAAGTGAGAGGAATCACATTTTGTCCGTACTCCTATGCCAGGGTATTCAAAAAGTGTTCAACCAGGGGCTTCGGTAAGGTGGCCAGGGACTGGTCTGCCTGCAAGGGTTCGTGATGTGACAGAGGGGAGACCCTCTTGCACTCAGGGTTCACTGAGTCGCATGCTTGTTGGAAGTCAAGCAACATCCAAAGCTGTTGCAGTAGAACCATAGTTCCAAAGGATGATCCTAAATTTGCTAAATTTAGACCTTAMATAACAGCTGTGGTTTGCCTGGGGAAGTCAGAGAGCACTGCAGGCCATCACTACCATATACACGGTCAAAGAAAGGACCCACATGGGAGTGGGATGCTACAGAGCACCCAGTAATGAATCAGAGCTCACACCTGGCACATCAGGTGCCAGAGGTGCCAATGAGGAGAGCCAGGACCAGAGGCAACCAGGCTTCGAAATTCTCCTGCTCGCTAAACTACTATTTTTCTTCCTCTTTTTTTTCTGTTGACAAATGGTTCTAGCCTGAAACTATGTAAAGTTTGCCTTCAGGCTAATTTTTAACAGACATTTTCTATACTTCCTACAAACAGAAAGTGCATTTTAATGACATATCCTAAAGTAAAATAAACATCTTGGCAATTGCTCGTCATGCAAAATAGAAGAAACTTCACCAGTGCTTCAGGGAACTGCATATGAAACATGGCACATGTGATACAAGGGGAGTTCTTGTACCTTAAAAACATTTCTGTTTAATTTTACATGCGRTGTCTTCAAATAAATCCTAGTTTTAGATCTCCATGCTGTCTGAATTGCAAGATACATTGCAAAATATTTTGAGATTGTTGTTTGCTTGTGTATAGTGCTGAAAATCTGGAYAAACTGCACAGCTTTTTATTGTACAAGCAGGGTAATTTTGGCATTGGATATTTTTCTGCAGGAATGTAAGCCAAAAATGTGGAGAAACGTTGTAATTCAGAAGGGAAATACTCTCTTAATACAAGAGGTTCAGGAAGAAGATGGAGGAAATTATACCTGTGAACTGAAGTTTGAAGGCAAGCTTATCCGAAGAACAACGGAACTGAAGGTTACTGGTAAGAATCTTTGTTGTATCAAGTAGAAAAGAAAGGAGTTTTAAGAGAAATAAGTGTCTGGTGCATACCAGCAAGTGTATTTGATAGAAGTGAGTCCAAACCAAACCCCAAGAGACAAGCAGTCCCAAACTGGAGGAAAAGTAGATCAGGTTCCTGTAAAACTCTGCTGCAGACCTCTTCTGCCGTTTGCTCTGTACAAAACATGGAAATGCTAATTTTAAAGCAAAAAGTAGAACAGACGTAAGTGTTCCCTAAGGAGTACTTAGGTGCTCCTATAGGTAAGACTTTCCTATAGGTAAGAAGCTGGTCCTAGAATGAAGCTAGGAACGTTTGACTGTTAGGGGAAAGCAGCCTGCTTCCTGGGAGGAAGGAACACAGTGTGCATGTTTCCAAGTGCATGGAACATCCACTATTCAATAATATATTTCCATCCCCTTTTCATCGGGTAGCAGAAATGGGTGGTTGGAAAAGTGTTACGTGCCTGTATATTCCAGATTCTTTTACGTTCTTCTATGGAGTATGACAATTATTATTTTGCCTTCTGTGTCTGTGGAACTTTGTAAATATCTGAAAATAGTTGGCTTTTTTTTTTTTTTTTTTTTTTTTTTGAGTCTTTCACACTAACCCATACAAACATAGAGTCCTGCTTGAAGCAGTGGTAAGTGGAATTTCACTTTCTTACATCAAACCGAGTTAGTCTGTATGATATTTCTAATGTGTTCTTGAAATACAATTGTTCCCTTTATTGTAAGCAAAATCCATTTGTCTTTTCTTATCATAATTCCTCATTTTAAATGAGTTCTTTTCCCTGAGTGTCAGACTCATATATCATGTGATTCTTTCTTGTCCATTTTTGACCATGGACAGATCTCAAAAGTATTGATTTGACCTACCTGACCCCAAACCTGTCAAATGAAGATGTAATACCTACCTTGTGAATAGCTGCTATCCTAGGTAGCATGCTGGTCTTCAACCTGAATATGAAATAAGTTTGACAAAGTGAAAATTAGGTGCATCTAATTCAATCCCACATGATGGATATTCTGTAGATAACAGATACTCTGTTCTCTCTCTCTCATCATGACCTTGCAAGAACTCCTATCTTCATTATTTCAACACTCTGGTATATTCTTCACAATTTGTTTGTCCTAAACTGGCTGTAGTAGATACTGGAGTTATTTGTTCTAGTAAAATGTTTACAGTCTGAATTGTTAAATATGTAAATAAAGACTATAATACTGTTCTTTCTTTTTGCAAAATGTTTGAGAATGAAGAGTATTTTAGGTTTATAATTTGAAGTGCCATTCWTATTAAATTGTGTTTAATTTACAAAAGCCACATATATTAGTATGTTACATAATCAGTGGTAGACACACAGCAGTAAACAGCACAGCAGGAAAAAGAAATAATCTTCATYTGTACAGCCAGTAGATGATTTTTAACCAAATACCTTTTCCCAACTTTACGTGTCTGGGAGACATTTGATTTTATGTGTTTGCTGTTTGAATCACTTCAGATATCTGCAGTAAGTGGACACAAGATGATAACTTGACTATATGAATAAGAACTATAAATTTAATAGCACACACTGATTAGGAATGTTTTCTTATAGCTTCGTGTTTTATTCTGTTTTTGTGTTGTTTCAGTTTGTGAGTTTTATTTGTAAGTTGCTTTTGGTCTTCATGGGTGGATCAAAGAAGACTTCACTTTTTTTTTTCTCTCTCTCTGTTCAGGTATTTATACACATTGATAAAATCCCCCTGAGCCTTCTCCACATTTAACAGTCCCAGGTGTCTCAATCTTTCCTTGTATGACAGATGCCCCCACTCTTTTAATCTTCTTTGGCCCTTTGCTGGACCTTTTCAGTGTACCACAGCTGGACACAGCACTTGGTACGTGGCCACACCATTGCTGAATAGAAGTTGTCCTGGAGGCAAGACTTTTCCTAGCATAGCCGAGGAGACTGTTGGCTGCYTTTGCCATAAAGGTACCTTGCCGACTTGTTCATTTATTTCACTAAGACCCCAGTCCTTCTCCACAAAGCTGCCCTCCGGCCTGTCCTTGTGCATTGGGACCCCTGGGGCAGGACTTGGCACTTTCCTTTGCCAAGGAAAGTGGCTGACCTTTGCTGAGCTCCATGAGGTTCCTCTCTACCCATTTCTCCAATCTTTTGAGGTTCCTCTGAATGGCAGCACAACCGTTTGGTGTTATCAGCTGCTTCTCCCAGTTTCATATCATCAACAAACTTGCTGAAGGGTGTGCACAGTTCCATCATTCAGGACACTACTGAAGATGGTAAACAATATATATACACACCTATAACATATATATATATATATATATGTATAAATACTTGTTGGTTTATATTTGCTCTGGTTCTAGAGCCATGGCCAGACGCTTCTTTGCAGCATATTGTGGACTTCTGTACAATAGCTGCACGTGGATGTTGTGCCGACCTATAGCAGTGTCCTGATGGCACTGGGTCAGTAGGACTAGGAGCCCAGAGGCTTTAAGTGTAAGCACTGMGATGACTGTATGTACAAATATATCTGTGTTCATCACAGACAGATCTTCATCCAGATGTCTAAATATTTTCTCTGTCATCATCTGAGTGGAGCTGTATGCACGAGGACCAAGATGATGCTGGGGTGCCAATGGATTGCGAATAATCCTTCTCAAAACAGGAAGCTGAAGATCAAATGAAGTAGAAGTGTAAATTGTTAAAGCAGATTTTTCCTTAATTCTTATGGGGCATCTGGCTTACCATCTGTTCAGGGAGATGTGTTAATAATCTAACACTTTTTATCTTACCTCTTTTTACTGAATTGCAGTGTCCCTGTGATACAAGAGCCATTCTGTAGGGGCCTCGGTGAAGTCCAGCCAACTGATTGAAAACTTCCCTCAGCAAATAGCAGGTAGAATTCAGCCGGCRCCAAAAGCACGTTTGCTGCCAGCTGCTGTGTCCTTCCTTTTGAGAGAGGAAAACCTATCTCAGAGCCAAGCAACGTTAGCAGCAAAATTATCACAATGCTGTTTTACTGTGAGGAGATGGTGACTGGCATCTTTTCAGAGGAATTGCAATCACRTCTAATTCCCTTTGAACTCTTTGTACTTGTGGTCATGACAAACAGACAGAATTGTGGGGAGTAAGTTCAGGTTTTGTTAAAGCTCAGCATGAGGATGTAAAAAGCAGGGCTCCCTTTGACCTGACTGTTCCCATCTGCAGTGTTGGAGCCCATGTCTCTGTTACTGTCTCTTCTGATGGCCGCCTGTGGTAACTGCGAGGGAGCGCAGGGACGAGAGGCTGCAGGCTGGACCGATGGGGCACGGGGCCACCTCGCTCCCTTGTAGGAAAATGAATTCTCACCCGCAGACGTTGCTAGACCAGGAGGAGCCCAGGATGGGACCSGAGCTCGGGTTGCTGAACCCGCTCTTGTGTAGAGGTCACCATCAATAAGGACTGGTGACAACTTAGCCGTTAGGCCGTGACAGCATTATCGCTGCTCACCCGTAATGCGCATGTGGAGAGGAAGATGCTGCCCGCTGTTTTAGGAGGCACTTTGCTCCGCATAGACTTTCTAATGCTGTTCCTATCATTGTTGCTTACTAACACGCCTGAACTGGCATTTATGGTACAAGTGCCTGCGTTTCTCTAACAATATAAATTTCAAACAGCAGCACCCGGTTGGTCACTGCCAGCAGCCACAGCAACCTGAAACGGTTATGAGAGGAAGGAGCTGTGCTGACAGGGGAACAGGCAGCCCCGCGACGCCCTCGAGCAAGGAGGGCTGCACTGCCAGCCTGGGAGAGGAGGCTTGGGTTGGATTTCCTGCATCCTTTCAGGCATTTACTGAAGTCTGCAATGCTTGAAATAGAGTAAATCATTTCCTCGGCTCACTGTGAGTCCTGTCTGCCTGCAGTGTGGATATGCATTGTACATTGGCAACATGTAGAATGGGCGCCTGCTTTTGTGGCGCTTGCACGTGGAGAAGTGATAGGGAATGATCTGCTCTTTATTTTTCTGTTGCCATACTAGCCGTGTGGATGCCCTCCAAAAAGTATCTGTCAGAATTGGTCAGGAGAGTAAGAAGAAATGACWAGTATTTGTATTGGAGGAACACACATGCACACACACACAAACACACGCGYGCGCACACACRTTTGTACTGAAGGAGGTTTCTATATCTAAAGCAAATCAAAAGATCCAAAAATTAGGTGAGACTTTTRACAAGGGCAAAGCCCCGCTTTTACTAGTTAGCTGTCCAGTCACTTCTCAAGCCAACTTCCACCCAAGCCATTGGTGTTCTCAAAAGGTTGTCTCCCTGTGCTGGCGAGAGTGTTGGRCCGCTCAGCGCAGCTCTGTGCCTGCGAGGACGGCGTCACCCAGGCTCTGCCCCTCCTCTGCTCAATCCCTGTCTTTCCTTCTCTCTTTTGCAGACTTAAAGATCTCAGTGATTCATTTAGGTGTAAATGGGGAGTCCTTACTCCCTTTCTTCTTCCTCTGCCATTATATTTATTACCTGCTATGAGATACTCCGGGGTAGTAAGTGGTAGCCTAAAGCCATCAACATAATGTCTGGCTGTGGTTAAGACAGGAAAAGGGATCTGGGGTTGCTAATAGATGAGCAGGACACAGATAATTTGTGCAAAGTGCTAGTTAGACATGGAGAACTGTGAGGGGCTGGCAAGGTCATCTTATGGCTAAGATGGTTAAGAGATGGCAGCAAGCAAGCAGGGTGATAACAAATTTGTAAGGTTATAGCTCTTTGGGGGTTGTAAGGAAACAGCTTGCAATATAAAATATATTCAAAAATATTTTGACACCAAATATTTAAAAGGACAAAATCCTGAGCTATATTCCTTTTTGGAAACACCAGTAAGCCATGCCTAAATCCTTGGTGTTTGGGTGCATTTAGTTCTAATAGATTGCCAACAAAACATTTTTTTCGTCACCAGTTCTTTGTGGTTTTGCTCTATTATGCAGACAGATGTGAAACAAG